CTTGTATGTCTGGAAATGTTTTCTCGAGAACTTTATATATGCAAGAAAATCTGTCTGGGTAAAAAACTGTGGGTTATATTTTCTTCTTAAGAACTATTTCTCTATGCTTTGAGTGCTGCTAGAAAAAAAAAGGTCAATTTTCTATTTTTGTGGGGGAGGAGGAAGGAAGAAAGGGTTTACATCATCCTACAGTCCATCCTCAAAGAAAGAAAGCCAGGGCAGGAACTCAAAGCAGGACCCTGAAGGCGGAGCTGAAACAGAGACGTTGGTGGAATGCTGCTTAGTAGCTGGCTCTTTGTTTCCTTGTACAAGCCAGGACCACCTCCAGGGATGACCCTACCCAGAGTGAGCTGGGCCCTCACACATCACTCATTAAAGCCATGCCCACAGGCTAATCTGATGAAGCAATTCCTCAATGGAGGTTCTTCCCAGATGACTCTAGTTGTTTGGGTCAAATTGAAAACAAAGACAAAAAACCCCAAAAAATTCCACAATTGACCCCTTGTCAAGTTGACACACAAATACAACACAAAACATCTTTCTTGTTTGTCCTCAAGATCATGTTAGTGTACGTTAGCTGGGCAGTGGTGGTGCACGCCTTTAATCCCAGCACTCGGGAGGCAGAGGCAGGTGGATCTCCGTGAGTTCAAGGCCAGCCTGGTCTACAAGAGCTAGTGCCAGGACAGGCTCCAAAGCTACAGAGAAACCCTGTCTCGAAAACCTCCCCCACCCCAAAAATATATATATATAACTTTGAAAGTCCCACAATCTTTAAAAATTTCAACATTTGGGCTGGAGAGATGACTCAGTGGTTAAGAGCATTGCCTGCTCTTCCAAAGGTCCTGAGTTCAATTCCCAGCAACCACATGGTGGCTCATAACCATCTGTAATGAGAGCTGGTGCCCTCTTCTGGCCTTCAGGCATACATACAGACAGAATATTGTATACATAATAAATAAATAATATTTTTTTAAAAAAATTTCAACACTTTAAAATAAAAGTTCTCTTTAAAAATCCAAAGTTTCTTAATTGTGGGCTCCTGTTATGTTAACTACTTTCTTATTCCAATAGTGAAGAACCAGGGCATAAATATAACCATAGTAAAGCAAAACCAAAACCAAACAGTGTGCAAATCTGACATCTGGAACTCACTCAGGATTCTCTGGGTTCCAGAAAGCTTGTGAAGCCCACCTCTCCAGGTCTCCGACCCCAGCAAACACAGCTTGTCCAGGAGGCTCAAGCCAGTTTTCTTCGCCACAGCTCAGCTAAGACCACGGAAGGAGGGGGGAGGTTTGAACCAGAGTCTCTGTCTCTGTACACAGCACTGGCTGTCCCAGAACTTACTGTGTAGACCAGGCTGGCTTTAAACTCACAGAGCGCTGGGATCAAAGGCGAGCATCACGACACACAGTGCTCTTCTTTTGTTTGCTTTGCTTTTTGTCCTTGTCTGTGATATTTTTTCTGAAAAGTGGTTCAGTAATCTTTAAAGTTCAGTAACATATAAGACAGGCCTCAGATGACTGGGGCTGCACTGATGTGCTGGAGCCTGCCACAGACCTCTCCTGCTCAGGCTTCAGGGGGGCTTTCCTGCAGCTTAACTAACTGAACACTTCTGGTTTCCTGCCTCTAGGACTAGGTGCCATAGGCTGAGCTTTACCCATCCTTCATCCGCAGCAACTTTAGGCATTGCTTTTAACAGATAAGTGCAGGTCACCAGAGAACCCTGAGGCAAAACCCAAATCCCACAACACCAGAACGTCCTGGAATGGGATTTGGCCCCATGGACCCATCTCTAGACGTTTGCTCACCTGTAGAGGACCCTCACATGCCTCTTTCCCTGACCTCTCACGAGATAATGGTGCCTTCACTATTGCCTTCAGACCACTTATCACATGGCATTACCTTCTGCTTCTCTCTCCACTCCTGCTATGTGATAAACTTCCCAAGGCAGAGAGACTGTGTGAACCGCTAGTGTCTGACATTGTTTATAGCATCAAAGAGGTACTCAGAAAGTCAGTTGAATGGGTTCCATTGATGGTTTTGATAGTTTTGTCTTCTCCTGAAGTGATGGGAAACCTTACTCCTCTTACTAGTTCAACAGTTTGCCTCCGAGGCGTGCTGTGACACATACAGTCTTCCCCTCGTTCTGTCACCAAGCACCTGATGCCTCTATTGCCTCCACATTGCTAGGACCTAGAAGGCAGAGCACCCCTGTGAGGGATTCTTCTCTTCTTTCGATTGCACTTTCTTTTCTGCTGGATTCTCACCTGCTCTGTGCCTCCCTTGTGAAAGGCATTCCTATCAAATTACCTGATGGGCTCACCTTGCCACTTCCTAAGCCAGCCTTCCTCACTGTCCAGGCAACACTTCTCTGTCTAGTGGCTCTGCTACCAACTGGATCCATTCTCCTTAGTCCCTTTTGCCTCTGAGCTAGGTGGTTTACCTTCTCGAGCCTGTAGCAAGGCAGTGAGTTGAGCTGCCTTCTGAGGCACATAGCACTCCACTCGGAAGGAACATCCTCAGCTCTGGAGAGCTCCTTCAGAAGCCATCCGTGACCACCTATGCTCTGGAGCGGAGGCAAGTGGAGATGCTTCAGAGTATGCCAGTCCTATGCCCTCTCAACTACCACGACTGGCAGGTTATTTGATAGTTTTGTGGGTTTTCATGTTTTCTTTTTGTTATTTATTTATTTATTTAGAGAGGGTTTTTCTGTATAACCCTGGCTATCTTAGAACTTGCTCTGTAGACCAGGCTGGCCTTGGACTCAGATCCACCTGCCTCTGCCTCTCAGTACTAGGATTAAAGGCATGCACCACTGCCTGACTTTTTCATTTGTAGTTTTTTCTTTTTCTTTTGTTGCCTGGTTTTCCAAGACAGAGATTATTTGTGTAGCCCTGGACCAGACTGGCCTTGAACTCAGAGCTTTGTCTGCCTCTGCCTCCCTAGTGCTGGAATTAAAGGTGTGCACTGCCACCACAACTTGGCAGCAATTTTTTGTTGTTAGGGTTTTATGTTTGCTTGTTTTTTTTTTCCTGGTTTTTCAAGGACTTTTCTGTGTAGTCCTACTGTCCTGGAACTCATTCTGTACACCAGACTGGCCTCAGAAATCCGTCTGCCTCTACCTCCCAAGTGCTGGGATTAAAGGCATATGCTACCACTGCCCGGGTTTTTTTTTTTTTTTTTTTTTTGAAACAGGGTCTATATAGACCTGGCCGTCCTTGAATTCACTACGTAGTTGAGGCTGGCTTTGAACCTCTGTCTCTTGAGTGCTTTGGTCAAAGCCATGTGCCACCATGGTAGTTCTTCTGTTGGCCAGTTTGTCAGGTAGTGTACACTAGAGGTAGGCCTGTGGTAGACCAGCCCTCTCACCTTCCCTTCTAACCCTTTCCAGTGGCATACAGAATGCAAGCACCTGGTTCATCTGTCTCCCGCCCACCTTCTCCCAGACCTTGTCAGCAGGTTTGTGCGGTTCTAGTTCCTGATCCATATCTACTTCTTTCCGGTGTTTCCTCTCAGCACACAGGAGGTGGCATAGGCCTTGAGACCCTTCCTAGCTTGGGTCCAAGTGTCATGCAATTTCCTGCCTAGTAATGTACAGTACTGTCAGCCCTGACCCTCTTATCACCTAAACCTCACAGAAGGGTCTACAGTGCTTTCCTGAGCTCCATTTGCCATGTTCCACAAGGATACACCTAAACAGGACACCAACTTTTGACAGCCATTGACTTTCTCTACCAAAGTAACCCACAGTGCTCAGACTCAACCAGAGCCCCAATCAGCTCTTCCTCACCGCCCGACAGGATTCCATCAGGAGCACACCACCTTTTATCCTCTACCCTTGGGGTTTTGTCTAAGTACCCCACTCTCCATAGACCTTAGGTGAGCACAAAGGCAAACCCATAGTCATAAATGCTTCTGGATGCTACCAAGAGGTGGCTTCCTCCACAGAGGCCTGCTTCTTAGCACTGCAGCCCTGCCTGGTGTGGGGGTGGGGTGGGGAGTAGAGGTGTTGGCTGGAGGCTTATGTGATCCCAGTTTCAGCTGAAGGGAGAAGGGAGGCCCACCAAGGCCTTGGCAGTTTGGGAACATGCCTGCCTCATGGGAGGATAGTTAGGATGTACAAGGATGGCCAAACTAAAGACCCCCCCACCCCCAGGAATCGGAGTATCCCTATGAGGGATGCAGGAAAGGACTCACACAAAAGGACCCAAAGGCACTTTGAAACTCCCAGGGAGCCTTAGGAGGGCCCACCTCGACAGGTCACCCAGGTATGCTGAGGGCCAATTGGGAGGGTGCTCTCTGGAGGGTCACCTGGGGGGGGGGGGATGCCGAAGGTTAGGTGGGCATGGGGCTCGGGAGAAGCACTCAATGGGTGCTGAGCTCCAAGATTCATGGACGTTAGAGATACTGGAGGATGCCAAGTACCACACCGGAGGGGTCTCAGGAGACCATTGGTGATGCCTGGGGCCACTCTGGACAGTTGAAGGAGTGCTGGGGATCCAAGGCTTGGGCCTCCGGGGATGCCATGGGCCACTCAAGCGGAGGCTTCCAGGAAGAGTAGATGGAAGGCCTCTCCGGGATACTGGGGGCCAGGTGACAGGGCCACGCGGGGATGCTGAGGACCACTCAAGAGAGGATGCGGGAGGGCCACCCCGAGATGCCAGGGCCAGACGGGCGTGGGTTCCAGAGGGCCACCCCGGGATGCTGACGGACAGGCTGGAGGGGTCGCAGGAGGGCTACAGGGGAAGTCGAGGACCCGGAGAGCGAAGGGCTCAGAAAGACCACTCCGCAAGGGGCGCGCGGGCAGGCTCGGCGCGGGGTCGGATAACGGCCCGCGCGGTGGGCGGCGGCGCCCGAGGCCCCTCCCCGCCGCCCGCGGCCGCTCCTCCTCTTCCTCTCCCGCCCGCGCCGCGGCCCTCCCGTCCCTGCGCGGCCTCGGCGGCCTCGGAGGCGGCGGCGGCGGCGGCGGCGGAGCAGCGCGGTCCCTTTAAACCGCCCGCCGGCGCCCCCGCGCCCGCCCCCGCCCCGGCCCGCGCCCGGCCCGCCGCCCGCGCCCGCGCCCCGCGCCCCGCGGCCCCGCCGCCGGCCCGGACATGGCCGCCAACATGTACAGGGTCGGAGGTAAGGCCCCGCCACGGCCTTTATGCGCCGCGGGCCCGCCGCCCGCGCCTCTCGGCCCCGCCGCGGCCTCCGCGCCTCCCCCACGCCGCCCTCGCGCGCGGCCCGCGCCCCTCCCCCCCGTCCCGCCCCCGTCGCGCTCGCGCCCCGCCCGCGAGGCTCGGTTCTGGTCTCCGGTGCTCGTCCCGGCCCAAAATGGCCCCTGGGCCGCCGGGGCCGGAGCGCGCGCGCGGGGGACGAGCGGCTCTGGGAGGGGGCTGTGCCCACCTGTTGGGGGCCGGGGGTGGCCCGCGGGACGCGGGCGGAGTAGCGGCGAGTGGCCAGGGCATCCCGGTGGCCGGCGGGCCCGGCGGCGCGAGGCCTGGGCCTGGGTCCGGGCCGGAGTCCCAGAGCCGGAGCACGTGCCTCTGGAGCTCTGGCTGCCGTCCCGCGAGCAGGAGTTTGGGGGTCTAGGGGGCGAGCGGTGTCCTCAGGGGCCATTCAGGGCGGGCTAGGTGTGCAGGCACCGGGAGTCCTGTTTGCAGGGATCACAAGCCGGTCTACGAGCCCCTCGAGCGTGGCCGAGGGGCTTTCCTTAGAAGGGATTCCTGGGGGGGAGGGTTGGCTACAGCAGGGGACCTTCATCCCAAGTGCAGGTCTGAGTCTCCCCAAACTTTTCTCAGCTTGCTGCTCACCCTAGCCCGACAAGGAGGCACTTTACCACTAGCCTTTGGGAGGGCAGAGGTCCCCACTAAGTTGGAGTCATGGGGGCCTGCTGTTGGCGCTGGTCCCCCTGTTGTTGGTTCCAAGGTGGCCCTTTCCCCGTTTGTGTGTGATGGGGACACTCTGAGATGGCCTTGCACACATACGGCCCATGCTGATCCTTAACAGTCAGCTCATCCCATAGCCTTCTGCTTCCTCTCTGGACTTGGAGACCCTTCCTGGGGTCACAGCATAAATGTGGATGGGTCTCTGCTGCTGTCTCTCCCACTAGTAAAATTGGTCTCTGCTGTGAGCGTGTGTTGGAGTGGGAGACCACCCAGAAGCACCCATTACCACTGCCCCGCATGACCCATCTTACACCAGCCAGCCCAGGTCCACCCACTGCAGGAGCCCTGGCTCTTCTGCCCTCCCAGGGAATCCTGGCCTCACACCTTTGCTTCCTGGCTAGTCCTGCCACAGGGCACAGCCTAGAGTGTTGGGGCCCTGTGAGGAGGGGCTGGTCCTCATTGAAGCTTCTGCCTTGCCAGTCCCAAAGGAAGAGGGCCAGAGCACTGGATCCTCCCTGCTTACTGGCCTGCCTTCAGGGGCAGAGACTAACTGCTCTGCTTCTGGCTCCTCTGGTGGCCCTCTTCCAGATGCTGGGCCTTCCTCTGCCCTGTGGACCATTTTTGCCTTCAAACCCCCTTCCTGCCCAACATGAGGCCCATGGTTCCTGCCGATTGGGATTCTTACTTCTAGTTCCCTCGTTCTGCAAGTTCTCCTTCACCTGTGAAAGGCTCCCATCATCCTGGTCCCCAGCCACCCCTTCCCACCCAGTTCACATTTCTTCCTTGCTGTGATTTCTGGCTCATGATGACATGTCATATGCTGAAGAAATGAATGACTAGCAAGAGAGAGGAGACCTGGACTCCTGCATCTGACTCAGATGGGGGAAAGTGGTGAGAATGAGGAAGGCGGGCTGAAGGGCCCTGGGTCCTTGGCCCAGGTGTTTATGCCCACCTTCCCATTCCTAAGGGCCCTACCCACGCCTGCCTGGCCCAGTAATCCCAGCAGAGAGCTCCAGCCAGGGCTCCAGCCAGACCTGGCTTCTGACTTGGTTCTTAATGTGCCTTGGTTTCCCCATGAAAAGGATAGGCATCCATCTGTTTTCATCCTGTGTCCTGTGGCTGTACACCCAGGGTGTACCTGGTGCCCTGGCCTGTCTGAGGTCCCATAAGGCTGGGTGGCTGGGCCCTGAGCTTCTATGCCAGGCAAGTATGGATGTGGCTAAGGAGCAGGGATAGGTCAGTATTCCTCCTGTGTGCCGCCATGCGTGTTCTGGGCACCAGCTATGTTGCCAGGAGTGCTTTTGCAGTGAGCTAGTCTCCAGAGCTAACCCTGAGGGTGTCCATGGCAGGCCAAGGGCTAGCACCTGTAAAAGGAACTTCGTCGTTCCCTGCTTTCTGGATAGGGAACTCTAGTGCCACCCTGTGAATCCCAGCAGGGCCTTGGGATGAGACTCTGGGTGTTGGCTATTGGCTTCCTGCCTCGGTCACTGCTTGCCAGACTCTCAAGCCCCCAGATGAGAGCACACATAGTGGCTCTCTGAGCAGGCTTTGGTTCAGTCTGGTTTTGTTGTCTAGAGTTTGACCCTCTGGGAAGTCTGCCTTGTCCTAGGCAGTGCTGGTGGGGACCCAGCTTGGGGAATCTCCCCCTGCTCCCCTTTTTTCTCTTGGCACATGCACCAAAAACTACAAGATGCCCAATCAGGTTTAAATTCCAGAAAAACAGCCAAGACCCCTAGTGCAAGTATGTCCCAAATGTTGTCAACTGTTTGGGCATCCTATGTTCTTAGCATGCTCTCTGGGGGCCTTGTGAGGGTGGGCTAGGCAGGATCAGGTATAGGTGAGGTTACAGAAGGCAGCAGACCACTTGGGTCATGTGGTCAGGAGGGAAGGATCATGAACTGCTGCTTTCTCAAGAAGTGGACTTGCTGAGTAGTTCCTGCCAGTCAGTGCCCGAGAGCCAGGACCTTCCTGAACCAGCCTCTGATGGCTGAGGGGTTTCTTACCTGTGCATCTATTATAAAACCAGGTGGCATCACTGACCAGAAGAGCAGCAATCACTCGAGTCTCCACCTCATGGCTGCTTGTATGTGGAGCCTTTTTCCTGTAGCTAAAGGGCTGCTGCCATTCCCCTGCAGTATTTTTCTTTTATTGCAAGAAATTAACTCCTGTACTCTTAAGTGGCTTTTGTTTCTATTTTACTGTGCTTGTGGAAGATGACAGGAAGCAGCAGCCTGCAGGCCACAGCCACATTACAGCTGGCCTTGTGTCCTGCTTTGGTATGGTGTTTCATGTGCCCAAAGCCAGCCTCTTGGTTTCCTACCTTGGGGTTTTCATTTAAATCATTCGTATTTAATCATGGTGTTAGGCATAGTTTTGTGCTCTGCTTCTATGTTTCTTGTTACTTGTTTTTTTTTTTTTTTGGTTTTTCGAGACAGGGTTTCTCTGTGGTTTTGGAGCCTGTCCTGGAACTAGCTCTTGTAGACCAGGCTGGTCTCGAACTCACAGAGATCCGCCTGCCTCTGCCTCCCGAGTGCTGGGATTAAAGGCGTGCGCCACCACCGCCCGGCTTGTTTTGGTTTTTTGAGACAGGGTTTCTCTGTATAGCCCTGACTGTCCTGGAACTCTGTAGTCCAGGCTGGCTGGCCTCAAACTCAGAGTACCTCTGTCTCCAGAGTGCTGGAATCAAAGATGTGTGCCACCATCGCCTGGCCTGGTTATGTTTTCTTTGTGGGGTTTTTTTTTTTTTTGGTTTTGTTGTTGTTTTTTGAGTCAGGGTTTCTCTGTAGCTTTGGAGCCTGTCCTGGCACTCGCTCTATAGACTAGGCTGGCCTCAAACTCACAGAGATCCTCCTGCCTCTGCCTCCTGAGTGCTGGGATTAAAGGCATTCGCCGCCACCACAACCACCACCCAGCTGTTTGTTTTTAAATTGAATGTGCGATACTGGGGGATCAAACCTAAGTTCTTGTGAAACTAGACCACTGGACTATAGCTTCAGTTCCAGCAGTTTTTATTTTCAGTTGAAGGTTTTTACTAAGATGTTTCCATGGTTAAAAACTCCAGGCTTCAAGGGGATGCCTGTACTGTGAGCCTGTGCAATATCCTAGTGTCTCTGGTCTTCCCTAGCACAGCGCTATTTTGAGGAGTCCTTTTGAAGCTTCTGGGTCCTGCCTGGCTCTTTTCACAGCACATGTTTCAGGGAAGACCCCAGAAGTCTTGGCTCTTCCCCAAGTCTGCATCTGTACTGGGAGTTGTAGAAGTGGGCTATGCCCAGGAGTAAGGTAGCAGCCATGTTAGCCAGACCAGCAGCCCTTAAACTCCTGGGCTTACCCTGCCCTCTTGCCCCAGCCTTATAAGTGCTAGGACTAAGTTCGAACTGTAATGTTAGGTCTGTACTTTTGACAGATGTCACTATGGACCTTCAAACATTCCCATAATCCTACATGTTCCCTGGTATCCTTGGTTGGGGAGTCTCCGTTCTCTCTCAACTACTCCTGTGCCTTGTACCCCAGTGTCGCATAGATGGAACCATTCTTTGAGATGGCTTCTTCACCATACACTCTGCATGTGGGAATTAGTATTATCTGAGATTGGCTTTTTTCTTTTTTTTTTTTTTTTGGTTTTTCGAGACAGGGTTTCTCTGTGGCTTTGGAGCCTGTCCTGGAACTAGCTCTGTAGACCAGGCTGGTCTCGAACTCACAGAAATCCGCCTGCCTCTGCCTCCCGAGTGCTGGGATTAAAGGCGTGCGCCACCATCGCCCGGCTGAGATTGGCTTTTTTCGACTGAGTGGTGTCCTCCCCAGTGTGTCAGCTTGTATCCACCAATGCATTTCCGAGGTGATAAACAGTGAACATGGGTTCTCATTTCTCCTGGATAAAAATATACAGTTGTGCAGTTGTGGGTTGGATGGCTGACCTCTTGAGAATCTGGCAGGTAACGTTCCAAGGTCAAACCCCCCTCCCCCAAAAGTTCAACCTTCCCTCTGCACATGGGTGTCTTCTCTGCTTTTTGGCAGGTGTGCAGGATGCCCTTTACTGTTATTTTGCTTTTTTCTTTTTCCCAGATAGGGTTTCTCTGTAGCTTTGGAGCCTGTCCTGGAACTAGCTCTGTAGGCCAGGCTGGCCTTAAACTCCTAGAGATCCGCCTGCCTCTGCCTCCCGAGCACTGGGATTAAAAGCCCGCACCTAGCATCGTTCCTGTTTTAATTTGAACTCCTTAGTGGTAGGTGGCTCCCATCCCTGGCAGTTTTGATTGT